AACATTTGCCAAATGAATGAATGATTGAATGATATGAGAACCAGTTTTGTCTAACTTCAAAGCCCATGTTCTTTCTACTACACCATATAGCTTTCCAAATGTTTCCATTTGAGATAACTGTTTCCATTACCTCAGGAAAAGAGAATGTTTTTCTATTAGGGTATTCCCCGGAAACAGATGGCATGCTCAAATTAGGATAGTTTGTGGAGAGTTTTTGCAGAGAGTTTAACAAAAGATTATTTACAAAGGTATGGACAGGGTGTAGGAAAATACAAGGTGGATACAGTACCTATAATTTAGTATAGAGGGGCTAAGCCTGAAGAGGTCATGGGAGATGGCAGTTCCAGAACTTAGAAATGCTTGGAGAAAACTATCCTGGGTTCCTTTCCCATATTTTTGGCCCCTGGGCTGTGCTGTGATAACCCCTAGAGGCTGGTCTCACACTCTTGGGACACTCAGGTAATGAGAGATGTCGGTTCTAGAACTTAGAAATGCCCAGAGAACTAGGTAGAGAGGGTCACCTGACAGGAGCTGAAATCTAAACTAAAGGGACTCAAATGAGCTTGCCACAACCCCCACAGGGAAAGAAACAGGATTAAATACCCCAAACTCACACTCCTACTTCTTTTTGATCATTTGCCTATGCTATTCATTGGCTGAACCCAATAGGAAGCCAGAGGCAAGGGAATCTGTTGAGGTGGTCCATGCAGTTCGGCCTCCCAAACCCAGAGCTGGAAGTGAGGCATTGATCTGAAGAGGCAAACAGATATCTAGGTCTTGAGACTGGAAAATAAAAACAAACACGTGAAATCAGATTGGAAGTCCAAAAAGATGAGATTTTAAGAGTGCTCCTGGAGGCTCTAGATAAATTTAATTTTTATGTCCTGGGTAAACCGTATTTTTATGTATTAAACTGAATATTTCAGCTGAAGTCACTAAAACTAGGTGCATCAGAGGCTTCCTTGAGGGTTCAGGGCTCTGGACGCACCCTCTCCACTCCTATCAGAACAGCTTTGCTTTAATTTGGTCAACACATCAGGATACTGCTTAAGATTTCATTGAGGAAATAGCGCTACAGCACCTCCTAGGGCCAGGTACAGTGCTAAGGACTCAAAACTGAATCAAACTAGTAGGAAAGACAGAGACGTAAATAAGCAAGAACACAGTGTTAGGAAAATACACAGGTTATGAAGGGAACTCAAAGAATGTCCAACGAACCCGGAGAGGGGAAGGGGTCAAGGAAGGCCTTCCGGAGTGGGTAACTGGAAAGGGGAGGTAAGGAAGCTCGGAGGACATTGCCGTTTTCCAAAAGAGGGAAGAGAAACCCAGTAATCATGCAATTCGCTAAAAGTGGGGGGTGGATTGGTGGTGGTGGTAGCTGTCACCTGAAAAGAACTAGGCTAGGGATCCGTGGACAAAGCTGGGAGCTATGGTGACTCGACGTGATTAGCAAGATTTCCGCTCAAGCCTGCCTCCAGCCTTGCTCCGCCCCCATTCCATGCCGTCCTCCGGCAAAGAGGCGCGGCATTTCAACAGTTTCACTCTGCTAGGACGGGATCCCAAGCCCAACATCCGCACGCAACTCCAGCGGGGGCGGTTGGCTGCTCAGTGTCCCAAAATAGCTCATGGTTTGAAGAGGTGGTCAGGTTAGCGCTCTCCGGCCGGGCGGGGCAGCCAAGGAGAAGCGATCATTGGTTGCCATAGCGGTGATCCGAGAGGCTGTGGAAGGCTGATTGGCCGTAGGGTCTTAGCGCGGACCACGCCCATCTCTCCTGGTTGTAATTGGGTCAGGGCCCACAGCCTCCTGGGTAGTTTGTGCTTGCGTCTCGGAACCTGGTTTTTGAAACGAGAGGGAACTGGGAAGGGGGGCCGTTTCGGGTTAGCTTCTGGTTATTGCATTTATGTGGGTTTTCACTATCCCAAGGGGGCTCTTCGTGTGTCTCCTGGGCACAAGAACCAGGGCAAAGGCTGCGGCAGGTGAGACGCGTCCAGGATGGCGGCCTCTCGTGTGCAAGAACTCCCTTTCCGGGGCCTGGAGCCCGGGGCTCCCGGGAGCTCAGGACCTTGAACGAGAAAGTGCTCGCCCTTGAGAAGACAGTTCTAGGTCACTCGGCCTGATTTTCCAGCATTCCTATCCCTTCTCACCCTCTGCCATCCACGTGAACGCACCATTTTAACGACGAATCATGCAGTGCCTCTTGCCTGGAATTACTTGTTCCCTGGCTTCTAGCCCCTCTCCCCCCATTTTCTACCTTACGATTCACTACTTATTCTTTAAGCCTTAGTTCTAATATCACCTCGGTATAAAGCCTGCCCCATTCTTCAGAACAGTAATTCGATTACCTTCTTAGGAGCGCTAGCTCTGGAATTGGTGCCCCAGTTAGAATTGCGGCTATGCTATTTGAAATGCGGTGTGATCTTGAGCAAATCGCTTAACCTCTATGAGCCTCAGTTTTGCATCTCAAAGTGGACGTAATACTAGTATTTCAAGAGTTTTGTGAAGATTAAATGCTTTTGGAATGTAAGTGCTTAATAAATGTAAGCTGCTGTCATTATCTGCTCTCCCAAAGAACCTTGTATAGGAATGTAAGTGCTTAATAAATGTAAGCTGCTGTCATCTGCTCTCCCAAAGAACCTCGTATAAGTCTCTTATAACGTTCTCCCTTTGCATTACCATTATTTGTCCTTGTATGTCCTACATATGAGCTTAAAAGATAAAACTGTCTTGTTTATGATGCCAGCAGACAACAGTGCTAGGTAAATATAAGCTACGAAATTATTTGTCAGAAAACTTTTAAAAGCACCCTTTTCTTTTTTTTTTTTTTTCCTTCACTTTTTTCTTTTTACTTTTAAAGGTTCATTGAGACAGGAATTTTCAGACTTGGAGAAGCTGAAAATCCTAGGGAGAAGAATAAGCACTCTTCACTTTTTTCTTTTTACTTTTAAAGGCTCGTTGAGACAGGAATTTTCAGACTCGGAGAAGCTGAAAATCCTAGAGAGAAGAATAAGCACTTCTTTTGTTCTCCATGGTGACCAAGAAGACCTTAACATTCCCATTTCTACTTGACTAAACTTTAGACAGGTTTCTTCCTGGCCAAAGGCCACTGACTTCCCTTTTCTCAGAGCATTTACTTGTAATTGCAAATTCTCTCTGCCCTTTGAAATGTATTTAAATCTACTTACAAGCCTCTTGCCAGTTTTTTAAGATCCAGGGGATGTCTGTCTTTCTCAAGGACCTGGGAGCCATCCCTTTGAAATGTAATCCTTAAGGAAGATAGCACCTCTATTTCCTAGTCTCTGTGGAACAGTAAGAGCCTAACTTCAGTGGGCACCTTGCTCGAAATTGTGGAACTACTGGCTGTAAGCTTACTTTTCCTTTGGGTAAGACCACCCTGCTACAGTTCTAAAAAACTCCACAGCCACTTGTTTCAGCAGAGTTGAGTTCAATCTGCTATTGCAATAGTCTTAAAATGTTTCTTGCCCATTTAACTTTGCCTGGTGTAATTTTTCTTTGATAATAGAAATCTTTAGCTTCTGCACTTATAGTTTCTACTCTATTACAGTGATGTCTCATTTTTTCCACCTCTGTCTAAGAAGTGCTTCTCACATGTCCTCTGATATCTAGAGATTCACCAATTTGGGCGCAAAAGATTAGAGCTTTTGGAGTGAAGCTACTGCTTTAAGTCATTGCAGAGGGTAGTATGTGATGTGAGGATGTGGAAAGGGTAGTACATCTATTTGAAGGCATCTTAAATGAGGTGCATTCATCTTATGGAAATGGTACCAGAAAATAAAGAACAAGCCTATCTCCTTTTCTTTCCTATCTATTATGAAAGGACAATGAGAACTATGCAATTTTCAAAGTAAAAGAACAGCTGAAAATATAACACCCTCTTCAGGGAGGCTAGGTTTGGTTAAGGAGAGAAGCCAGAAAAAACCAGAGAGGTCAGGGTTGCACATAGAAAGGCTTCTGCAATGGTGGAAGTAGTGTGAAGAGAGATTCTTTAAAGTACAGGAAATGAAATGGATCCATTTAAGATGAGTAGGTAAGGTGGAATAAGACTGAGTTGGAATGAAATAAAAGATGGTTGAGAAAAAGATGGCTGTAGGGAGAGGGGAGTTAATTTTGGGGTATGAATAACAGGGAAGAAAACTGATAGTCTGAGAAGCTTGGTAGAGGCACTACTTAGATCTGAAGGGAAATACCAAGCAGTCATGTTACTTAAGGAAACTAGAAGACTTAGGAGGAGGGCTTTGACACACTGGTTTCTCCCACTCGCCCTTCCCTAACAACACACAAGCATAAATGTAAATTGAATGCAGTGTTGGCAATTTCACGCCACCACAAATTCTCCCTCAAGGAGTAGCAAAGGCTAAGAACATAAGAGTTCAGGCTACTGATCCTTAGTTTTTCTTTTTCTTTTCTCTAATTGACTTTTCTTCATGTCAACACTGCTCCCTAATTCTCTTTTTCTTACTTCTTCCTCTATTTTTTCTCATATAGGAGGAAGGTGGATGAGGGCATATTCAAGATATGAGAGTAGAATGTAAGAAAGAAAACACAGACTGAAATGATAAGTTAAAAGAGAAAAAAAGTTTATTCCTAAATATATATGCAAAACTCAGGCTGGGAATAGCATGTCAAAATACTATACAAATAAAATGAAATAGAGTTAAGTGCACTTATGTATATTATCAGATCCTGTTAGAACTTAGAAGAAAAAAACTTGGGAAAGTATCAAATTCTCCTGAGGAGGGTCCAAGAGAAAACAATGCTGGAAGTAAATTCAGACAGATGAACATTAGACATCAATAAGATATCCCAGGTCTGATGCTAGTACAAAGGAAGCTATGAATGCTCTTTCCTGGAGTCTTTCAGCATTGGAGAGTTACCCAACTGTCAAGGCTAGAGGAGGGTGTTTCCCCTCCAGAAGTCTTCTAGCTAGACAGACTCTGCCTGGGCTAAGTTGGTCCTCTCAAAGGCCTTTACCATAGCCCCTTCATTTCCTTGTTTCAAAACTGTAGATGGTGAGTTTGCACATGGGGGTGATGATGGCGTAGAGGAGGGAGAAAGGATTGTCTTTGTCAGGATCATGGCCGAGGTATAGAAAGAGATGACTACAGTCAGATGGGAGGCGCAAGTAGAGAAGGTCTCCCCCTGACCTGAAAAGGAGGTTCTACTGATAATAGAGGCCAAGATGTGGGCACAGGAGATGACAATGAGCACCATGGGGCTGAGCGGCACCATGATGGCATCCCTAAAGATCACCCTTGGACTAAACTGGGAGTCTCCATAAGACAGGATGACTATGAGGGACCTCACAGAAGCTTTATATGTGGTTGTCTCTCCAGAATGGACCACAAAGTGTCATGTAATCAAGCAGGATGCCATTGATCAGCCCAAAGAACCTGGCAGTACTCATACAGACCTGCTCGCTCATGATCTGGGCATAGCTAAGCAGGTGGCAGATAGCAACATAATGATCATAGGCCATAAAAGCCAAGAGGATGCATTCAGCCACACTCATACCAAAACCCAAATAGATACATCAGGGTCAAGCAAGAGGCAAAGGACCACCAGGTGGATCAGCATCCACGGGATGATGGTGGTGATGAAACACATCTAGGAAGGACAAGTGGCGAAGGAAAAAGTGAGGTAAGATAGTTAGCCTATGGATGCTCCCTCTCCGCTCCAGGATGCTGCTCTGGAATTTTTCCTCAGTCCCTTACTCAGCCCTCTCCCTGGTTTGATTTCAAGCTTGAGACTCCAGCATGAAAAATGAGCCAAGGCCAGAAGACAAGATAGATGGCCTTGGGAAACAAGCCAAGATCAGGAGGCGAGCTGGAGAGGCTTGGGACACCCCCTCCCCCAATTAACTAAAAGCCCATAATTTAGACAGCTCCAGGTGACTCTTTCTCTGAGCTGCCCACACTTTTCTCTTAAGTGTGTACTTTTGCTTTAATAAAACTCGTGCTTTCCTGCTTTTGTTTGTCATGCCCTTGAATTCTTTCTCATGGCATAAGACAAGAATCTGGTCACTGGAAGTCCGGGTCAGGATCCCTCTTTGGAATCTGGCCCTGTCAAGCTCTCCGAAATCAGAAGTACATGGGGCTGTTAAGCCTAGGATCTGTCTAGGTGATGAAGATGATGAGGCCATTCATGGCCATGGCAAGGCTGTAGGACTAGAAAGAGGGAGGGTACAGAGCAATGCTCTAGTGGAAAGGGAGCTCCACTCAAAATCCACAAGGATAAATGATCACTGTGCTTCTGTTCCTTTGTCCAGCATCTGGGGCCTGCTTGAGGAGGGAGGACAGGAAAAGCACAGATGAGATAGCTGTGTATAGGTGCTATCTACTTGTGTAAACAGATTGGGGGCACGGGAATGAAAAAGACAAGAATTTCAGAAAACTCCATGTGAGTCGGCAGTGTCATGGGCACTGAAAATGTCGGTGCTATTGTATGCTGCAATAGTGGGATCGTATTATGAACCAAGGGGGTTTCTATTGTACTTTGTGTGGAACAGGCTCTACCTGAAATAATATATCCAGTTCTAGGAGTTTTTTTTAAATGATTATCTACCAATGGGACCATGTTCAGAGACAGACAAGATGGTGAAGGATCTAGAAACCGTGTGCCAAACTTTGAGGGAAATTTTAAAGAGAAGACTCAGGGAGAATCTGAGAGGTCCCTTTAAACATTAATGGGTTTTCCATCTAGAAAAGAGAATTTACTTTTTCTGTGTAATCTCAATAAGTAGAACTTGAACCTGAATGTGTAAATACCAGAGAAAAAAATTACTGGTATTTCTAATTACAAATTTTCTTTGTTCTCTTACTAAGAAAGTAATGCCTGCTCATTATAGAACATCTGGAAAACCCCCAAAAGCAAAAGCATAAATAAATAAATACAAAGAATTACCACGTCAATATTTCAGTTCATATATTTTCAGTAACTGTTTTTCTATATTTCTATTTTAAAAGCTTTTAAGACCAACACAAGGCCTGAGTGGAAACTGCTAGAGGAACTTAAGTGTCAGGGAAAAGGGTATCTTCAGGAAGAAATAAAGCAATTACAGCTATTTCCAGGTCGGGGGATCTGCTACAGGTCCAACAGGGAGAGAATAGAAAAGATAAAAATTCATTTTTTATTTAAATGGAAGAGCTAGGAACAGTTGCACTCCACCTCACTTTACAGCCCAAAATAGTTTATTGATTTAATAAGTGAGTGCCTACTATGTTCCATGTATTGTGCTAGGTGCCAGGGATATCATGCATAAGAACTTCATGATCTTGTGGAGATTATACTATATACCAAGTCATTAGATCAGGGGGATAAGTAAGAATATAGAGAATCCATATAACATATGGATAATATTAACAAGAAAGCACACAATTATAAGGAGAATATTTCAAACTCTATCATCTGCATAGAGGAAATGTACCTTTTTGAAGGGTCATGGAACATTTGCAAAATATTAGAGACATATTAGATATATGTCATATATGTATATTATGTATATATGTGTATATATAATATATGTAATTATATATATATAATAGATGTAATATATAATATATGTATATTACATGTATATATATAGTATATTAAAGATAAATGAATTCCAAAAAGCAGAACAGTTCAGACTATATTTACTATATAAAAACTAGGCATTAAAATTCTTAAATTTCTGTATAGAGATTTCTTAAAAACCTATTTATTTCTCCCCTTGAGGTATGAGAAGGAGTACAGGAGTCAGTTTGTGTATGGGATTTTCCTTACGAATATCATTAATCATCACACTGTACACTTTAAAATATCTTGATAATTTTGTCAATTATAGCTCAATAAAGGTGAAAAAAATGTTGGTCACATTCGATTGATAAAATATTGTTTGCTTTTTCTTTTACTTCAAGTAAAGAAGTGAACTCTTACTGTATATTTTAAATTTAGAATGTGTTCATAAATAAATCGTAAATAACATTCTTCTAATCAGCAGAATGACCAGAAATGTCGTATAGTTTGTGCACTGCACGAAGGCTCCTGAAGGGAAGAGTGAATGCTGAAATCCAGAAAGTGCTCAGTTTACCATGCTGTGCACCCTGGTGAAGGGCTGGGTAAGTTCAAAGGAAGTGGTGCCTTTTCCCTAATCCCTCTCTGAGAGGTAGTGACTTTTTGTAATTAGCCTATATGTGCTAGGAATGCCCTGCTGGTCAGGAAGGTCTGGTGAATTTTTAAATTTCAGCACTTAAAATTTTTGTCTGATAGGATTGAGGAAGTCTTTGAATGAATAATAATAAACAAGCTTATGTTCCCCTGAGTGTGTTTAGGAATAAAAATGTAATAGTCTTTTTTTTTCCTAAAGCAGTGGTACTCAAAGTGTGGTCCACAGACCAGCAGTGGCATTATCACCTGGGAACCTGATAGAAACACAAGTTGTTGGGCTTCACCCTAGATCTACTGAATTATAAATTTTGGGGATGGAGCCCGGCAATCAGTGTTTTTTTTAACAAGCTCTCCATGTGATTCTGATGCACATTAAACATTGACAACTACTGGTTTAATGCAGGGGTGGACAAATTATGGCCCTCAAGCCAAATATAGTCCATGGACTATTTTAATGAAGTTTCATTGGAACACAGCCACACACATTTGCTTATTTTTTATCTATGTTTGTTTTATCATTACAACAGCAGAGCGAAGTAGTTGCCACAGAGACTGGATAGCCTGATAAATAGGGTTCTCAGATTTAGCAAATAAAAATATAATATGCCCATTTAAATGTGATCTCAGTCAAACAATACAGATTTTTTCATTATAAATATATTTCATGCAATATTAGTAACCTAACACACAGAGCCTAAAATATTTACTATCTGGGCCTTTACAGAAAAAGTTTGTGGACTCCTGCTTAATGTAATAACTTTAGAGTGAGCTTGCTTGTGATAGATAGGACATGTAAGGGAAGCAATGAGAAAGGCCTTAGTCCTGATCACACACCAGGGATGGTGAAGGATCTAGAAACCTCAAGTGCTTCCTTTCGAAGAAGAAGGTTCAAACTAAAAGATCAATTTGCCTGGAATGGAAAGGCACTAGGTGCTACTTCTTTTTCTGTTAATTAAACTCAGTATATCAGTTGCTCTCTCTTTTTTAAGTGCCCAGTGTTACACATGTTCAGTTAAGATCAAGCAGATATTTTAGAAGGATTGTCCAACTAATACAGAAGCAAATCTCTGACAACAATAAAACTAGACATGATTATGACAATAACCCCAACTACTTGAAAACTGATAAAACAATAAGGTCTTTGAAAACAACTCTTAAATCAAACAGGAAATCAAAATAGCAATTAAAAACTATCTAAAAAATACTGATAATAACAACTTAGCATATATTAATAAATACTATACACAGATATTGGTTAGAGAAAAAGTTAATAGCTTGAAATACTTCTGTTACTTAACACAAAGGAATAATGACAAATGAAATTAAATAAAATAAAACAAAATGAAATAGCTCAAGAGGCTAGAAGCAGATAAACAAAATTAACCTAAAGCAGACCAGAAAGAGAAAATATCTAAAGATCAAAGGAGAAATTACTGAATACAAAAACAGAAAAAAAAAATAGAGTTAAATAAATTCAACAATTGCTCCTTTAAAAAGCCAATAAAATAGATAAACTACTATTTCTCTAATAACAAAAATGAGGTAGGGGAAGAGAGCACAAATACACAAACTAGAAATATAAACATGTAAACCTAAGTATCCATTGATGATGACTGGATAAAGAAGATGCGGGGTGTGTGTGTGTGTGTGTGGAATACTACTCATAAAAAGATGAAATATTGCTATTTGGGATAGCATGGATGGTTAAGAGTAAGTGAAATAAGTCAAATGGAAAAGGATAACTATATGATTTCACTCATGTGGAATATAAAATAAAAAGTAACAAACAAACACAAACTCATAGATACAGACAATGGAATGGTGGTTACCAGAAGGGAAAGAAGGTGAGGAGAAGTGAAGTGGGTAAAGGGGATCAAATATATGGTAATAGAAGGAAACTAGACTTTAGGTGGGGAGTACACAATAGAGTATGCAAATATCAAATTATAATCTTGTACACCTGAAAATTATATACAATATATGGTAATAGAAGGAAACTAGACTTTAGGTGAGGAGTACACAATAGAGTATACAGATGTCAAATTATAATCTTGTACACCTGAAAATTATATAATGTTATTAACCAATGTTACCCTCATAAATTTAATTTAAAAAAAGAAAAAAAAGTGAAATAATCACAGCTACAAAAAAAATTATTTAAAATTATGCAACAGTACTTTGTAAAACCTTAAAAGAATCAGTTGGAAAGTCTGGAAGTAAAAGTAACTTTCTAGGTATAAATCACTAAAATTCATTAAAGAAAAGACAGAAACCAAGTTAAACTAATATCCTGAGAGAAATCAAAGAAATGCAGTACTTCTGAACCGTGGCTTTATATTACAGTCATTTGAAGAGTTTGAAAATGTTCCCATGCCAGGCTGCATATCAGATTAATTAAAACAGAATGTATTGAGGACTCAGGCATCAGTATTTTTCAAATTTCCCCAGGTGATTTCAATGTGCAGACAAGTTTGAGAACTATTAAAACAGAGAAAGCTGACAAAGAGCTCCAGGCCCTGATAGTTTCATGAGTTGTATCTAATCTTGCAGCAATCAGATATTTTTGAAAGCCACTGAAACTGTTTATAAGAACAGAAAAAAATAAAAATTTCCTGGTTACTGATTACTTTGACAATGTCATCAAACTACTGATACCAAAACCTGAAAAAGTACACAAAAGAAAACTGTAACCAAGATAATTTATTAAAAATGATGAAATAGACAAAATAAATTATTAGCAAATGGAATCCATCAGCATTAAAAGAATAGTGCACCATGACCAAGTGAAATTCATTCAGAGGGCTTAAAGTTCTTATATTAGGAATTCTACTAATATAACTCAGTATATTGATATGTCAAAGATGAAAAACTTCTAATCAATGAGATGTTAAGGCATTTGTTAAAATTCAACGGTGATCTGATTTTTAAAAATCCTTAGTAAAGTAAGAATAGAGTCTTCCATGTCATATTTAAAAATTTATCTAAGTAAAATAATCCTAATACATTCTATATGTTAGGTATTGTTTGTTCTACAAATGTTATATGTAGTAAGTCTTTTAAATTTCAAAACAATACTATGGGATATGTAGT